GCACAGAGCCCGACGCGGGGCTCGAACTCACGAACCATGAGCTCACGACCTGAGCCGAGGTCAAGAGTCGGCCATTTAACCAAATGAGCCACCTGGGCGACCCAAGACTGGCTCAATTCTGCCAAATGCCAGCAGGCACTCAGGAAGTGGGTACCATTAAGGGTGACAGCGTGGGGGCATGTGGGGGCACGGGGGGGCCCAATAGGAGGTGACCCTTCTGTCTCTCCACCTGCCACAGGACTAAGCTGGTGCTGGAGAACCTGGAGGATGCCTGTGTGCTGAACGGGCCCGACGACTCCCTGTGGGACAAACACGCGTGCCCGGCCTACGTGGGACCTGAAATCCTCAGCTCCCGGGCATCCTACTCAGGCAAGGCGGCCGATGTGTGGAGCCTGGGCGTGGCGCTCTTCACTATGCTGGCTGGCCACTACCCCTTCCAAGACTCAGAGCCTGCCCTGCTCTTTGGCAAGATCCGCCGCGGTGCCTTTGCCCTGCCCGAGGGCCTCTCGGCTCCCGCTCGCTGCCTGGTCCGCTGTCTCCTTCGACGGGAGCCAGCCGAACGCCTCACGGCCACGGGCATCCTGCTGCATCCCTGGCTGCGGGAGAAGCCGATCCCCTCAGCTCCACCCCGATCCCACCTCTGGGAGGCCGATCAGGTGGTCCCTGAAGGGCCGGGGTTGGAGGAGGCCGAGGAAGAGGAGGGGGTAAGAGAAGCTGGTCTATATGGCTAGGTAGCCCTAGACTCGCAGCTGCAGCAGTGGAATTGAGTTTGGGGTATCTCCAAGCTCTCTCCTGCCTTTTTTTGTTTTTGCACTGAGCCAAACCTTAGTGCCTTCTAGAAGGGAGAAAGGACGCATGTGTGGAGTGTGCTGTATGCACACCTGTGTGGTTCCGCACACCTGTGCACACAGGCTTGCACATTTAACAAATCCTGGGAGCTCACTGCGCGCCGAGCCCTGTTCTCGGTGCTGGGAGCGCCTCAGTGAACAAAAGACGAAGCTCCTGCGGACGACACATCTCCAGCCCACGGTCAGTGTCCACACTGGGCCCTCTCAGCACAGGTGTCCGCATCCACTCGTGCTGGTGCCCAGGCACTTCCGACCTGGGACAGTGCCTCTCACAAATCCCTGTGCCAAACAAAGGCTGCTGGCCTCTCCCTTGCAACTCAGGACTCCAGAGCCCAGGCCGTGCTGGGAATTGGGCTCCCAGCCGCTCTCTTCTCCGAGCCAAGGACTGGGCTGGAGGAGCCCCAGTTCAGACTATGAGGCTGGTCCTCGCCTAACTCAAGGAGCGGTTTGGAGCGAGGGCCCGCGCCTGTCCACCTCTGGCCTGAGCACCAGAGTTGGGGGATGGAGGGGGCACGGTCGTCTCCCCCTGGCCTCCTGGAACGTCCCAAGCCCTGTTCTGGGTTTTGGACCAATACTATGGGTTTTGGATGCCAGAAGAATCTATTTTTACCTTGTGCCTAATAAAGGAGTGGTGAGATAGTTTAATTTCTCCGGGACATTCCTTCTAGCCTCTCATGGAATGGCGGCACCTGGGTGGTTCAGTTGGTGGAGCGTTGGGCTCTTAACGTCTCGGCTCAGGTCATGATCCAGCCCCGAGTACGTGAGTTCCAGTCGCGAGTCAGGCTCTGCACTGACGGTGGGGAGCCTGTTTGGGATTCTCTTTCTCTCTCTCTCTCTCTCTCCCTCTCCTCTCTGCCCCTCCCCCACTCACTCGTGCACATACTCTCTCTCTCTCCCTGTCTCAAAATAAATAAACTTCAGGGGCGCCTGGGTGGCTCAGTCGGTGGAGCGTCTGACTTCGGCTCAGGTCATGATCTCACAGTCCGTGAGTTCGAGCCCCGTGTCAGGCTCTGGGCTGATGGCTCAGAGCCTGGAGCCTGTTTCAGATTCTGTGTCTCCCTCTCTCTCTGACCCTCCCCCGTTCATGCTCTGTCTCTCTCTGTCTCAAAAATAAATAAAACGTTAAAAAACAATTTTTAAAAATAAATAAACTTCAAAAAATAAATAAATAAAGGAAGGGAGCACCTGGGGGCTCAGTGGGTTGTCTCACTTCAGCTCAGGTCCCAATCTCATGGTTCGTGAGTTCAAGCCCTGCGTTGGGCTCTGTGCTGACAGCTGAGAGCCTGCAGCCTGCTTCGGATTTTGTGTCTCCCTCTCTCTCTGCCCCTCCCCTGCTTATGCTCTGTCTTTCTATCTCTCTCTCAAAAATAAACACAAAAAAATAATAGAAATAAAAGAAGGAAATGTATTTCACACAAAGCGAGAAGTCAGGAGATGGGATGGGCTTCTGGGCTGGTTGATTCAGCTCTCAGAACTGTCAGCAAAGACTCTGGTTCTCCAGGCTCATTCCGTCTCTGCTCTGTTGTCCCTGGTGACTACTGGCACAATGGCCACAGCAAGTCCCAGGTGTCACACAAGCGACCCACGACCAGAGGAGGCAGGAGGGTGGCACCGTAGTACTGAACAACTCAGTATTCTGGAGTCAGGTTCCCTGGAATTAAATCCTGGCTCCCGCGCTCGCTGGCTGTTTGACCCTCTGTTTCTTAACCACCCTATTCTATGCCTGAGATGATTCATCTCTGCCATGAGGGCAACAGTGCCTAACTCACGGGAGTTCAAGGAGTTATTTCACGTAAAGCACTTAAACCCTCCATAAGAGTTAGCTGTTCCTATGAGCCCCACAGCTCTCTCTCCCGACGGGCAAAGTTTTCCCAGAAGCGCGCCTAACAGACTTTCCCACCTAGCTCATTGGCCAGAGCTGGGTCACCTGCCCTTTCCTGACCAATCACCAGCAAGGGAAATGCAGTCCCGCTAATTAACCACGCCAGTCCCCCAGCTGTAGGTGGGTACAGCGTCCCCGAGGCTCACGCTACACGTGGGAGGGGAGATAGTGGGAGAAAGCACGAGCACTGAGGGTCAATAGCCTGCTGGCTGCAGACATGTCACGAAAGCCATCCCGGGATCACCCGGCCACCAGTCCGCAAATGCAGAGATCGGTCAGGCCGATGGAGGCCGGAAGACTTGTTCAGCTGACCCACAGAATCATGAGTTAAATAAAGTGATCGTTGTTTTAAGCCTCTGAGTTTTGGGGTGTTATGTTAGGCGGCGAAAGCTAACTGATAGACTGGGAGACGTCAGCCTCATCTGTGTGCAGCCAGCATTCCCCGGGGCAGGGCCCAGCTGTGTTTCGGGTCTCATGGGGCAGGCAGTCCCCCAAGCTTTCCTCTTTCCCCTCCCGGCTTACACCTAGAGACCCCCTTTAATTCTCAGGACGACCCTGTAAGGTAAATGCGCCGGTCACTTTACAGGTAAGAAAAATGTGGTTTAGAGAGCAGAAGACTCGTCCAAGACGACACAACAGACAAAAAGATTCACCTGGTTTTGCCGCGAAGCAGGAACTTTTCTTTCTTTTTTATTTTATTTTATTTTTTTATTTTTTTTAACGTGTTATTTATTTTTGAGACACAGAGAGACAGAGCATGAACGGGGGAGGGGCAGAGAGAGGGAGATACAGAATCTGAAACAGGCTCCAGGCTCTGAGCCATCAGCCCAGAGCCCGACGCGGGGC